TTCGATCATAATTGCTAACAAGTACCTTGCTCAAGTTAGTTAGTCAAGCAATCAGCACCCTCTCAAAGTCTGCTACATCGCCATTCACACCGTTTGAACCCATCTGATCAGAATGAAAACCAGAGCATGGACATATTCAAATACTGAGTTGAGGAACGCGCCACAACAGAACGAGTCTCTCCTGAGAATCAGGTGCCTTATAAGCACTGCATGTTTGGGATCGACTTTATCATTATCGGTTTGCGCGCAAGGCTCTTGTTTAAATATACTTCTTCATACGCAAAACCATCGTTGTAGATTTAGTGATCAACACTGAAAAATGGAGGAGCACCTGAATTTCTTCAAGGAAGCAGTTTTGCTTCTCATTTTCCTCAGATTGGCAGCCTTAATTTACAAATAGTAAGTTGTAGAGCAAGTAAAAACACAACCTACTCTCTCTCATCTCTTTTGTTTCTCCCATTTATGTCATTCTTGGTTTCCAGTAGAAATCGTGGTAAGTGAAATTTCAGGAATATTGCAATCGGGTGTTCAGTACTGATAGCCAGTTTATGGCCTCTACCTGCAGCGATCGGAACAAACGAAAGGAAGGACGTCTATCAAGATCTGCCTGGTTGGCCATTGTGAGTGATATCAGTTCGACTCAACCTTGAATGTTATGTCGACGATCATACTTCCTTGTTCCGCTACGCATTGAAGATTGGGACAAGTAAGTCATTTATGTTCTCACTCTCTCTGCGTTATAAAGTTACTTGGAGATGTTTGAAGCTGAAGTTCATGCGAGGATTTCCAAAACACACTTTGAAAGCTACCAGAGGTTATATTGAACAGCCGCAGCTTGCTTGAATGGAATTCTAGGAAGGAGAGAACATATGGTCTCGGGTTTTCTGTTGGTTCAACTCTATCGCAAGATTATTAGCTACCGTCATTGAGCACTTGTTCACTTTTCCAGGTGACCTTGCCAGGTATGAGGCTTATAGAAATCAGTCGCCCAGACTGGATCGAGCATGTTCAGAAAAGTCAGTTTTCAAACTCATGCTGCACTAGAACATGAATTTCTGAATTGAATCTATGTCCAATTACGCTTAGCCAATTTTCAAAACTATGTCAAAGTAAGTAAATGCTACCAATTTCATAGAGAAAAAGGTAAAGATTTCTTTTCATATTGATCTCATACTTGCCAATATTTTGCGCTCCTCAGGGCAATTTCTTCCGGGAGGTCATGTCAGACGTATTTGGTCAGGGTATCTTTGTGGCTGACGGTGCAAAATGGAAGTCCACTCGGCAGGTCACAGCACGAATCTTGAATGCCCACAACTTCAGGGTGAGTACTCCAAAATGATTGTCCAATAGTCTGGTAGGCGTGGTTTGTATGACTGTAG